TAACTTTTCTAAATTCGCATACATTTTAACATGAGAATTACGTATTAAACTGTTATAACGACTGTTAAGATCGTTGAATATTGTATAAATTTCATAACACGTCAAATATTCGAGTAAATCGTAAAATAACTCGCTTGGTAATGCTTCAAAATGGGGGAAAAGTGAGATCTTGATTTTCAGCGGTTCGGGCGTTGTATCAGATTCCCTACGAGTCCCAGCACTGGCACTCGGTGACTATTGGTAGCCTTAAAGACGTATGCGCTATGGGTAATCGACCATGCTGAGTTTCGCGGTAATATTTGTATTTCTAAACAGTTCCAAAAACTTAGTGATAACGTACAGTAGGTGAAATATCCCATTTCTGCCCATTTTGAGTAAAATTCAAAAATTCATAACTCAGTCAAGAGTTATTATTTTCTGTTGACTTTTAACGGTTCTGTTAAACTGCATAGTATTGAGCAGGTAAAATAGAGTACATCTTGATATTCTGACATAACTTGGATTGATCTTGACTGAGTTATGAATTTTTGAATTTTACTCAAAATGGGCAGAAATGGGATATTTCACCTACTGTATGTTATCACTAAGTTTTTGGAACTGTTTAGAAATACAAATATTACCGCGAAACTCAGCATGATCGATTACCCATAGCGCATACGTCTTTAAGGCTACCAACAGTCACCGAGTGCCAGTGCTGGGACTTGTAGGGAATCTGATACAACGCCCGAACCGCTGAAAATCAAGATCTCGCTTTTTCCCCATTTTGAAGAGGACATCCCAGGCTATCAGTCCATGAGAAAAAAGCAATACAATCCTATTGGAAAATGTTTACAGACGGCATAGTTTTCCAAAGATCTCTTAGAAAACCTGCTCCAGAAAACTGTTATGAAAAAACTTTGGTTATGGAAATATGCCCCCAAGTTTCCTCTTTCCACTGGTGAAAATCGGAGCTCTCTAGCTCTTTTCTATCAAAAGATATTCAAAACACAACCAAGTGCACGGTGTTTTGACGCCGATAATAGAAAAATGTTTTGCAAATCTGGAAAACAAAGTAGTGGTAGTTTGCTAACCCGTGTTTTGTGATACTCCTAGGTACACACTATCGATAGATAATAAGAAAAAATCTAGGTGTTTACCTTTTGTTTCAGTCAAATTTTTTCACAAAAACGGTACTATTTTTATCAGAATCACTCATATATAGAAAACATTCATAATATTTTCCTATGTGAGTTATAGACATTTTTGAACTCGACATTCATGACGCAAGTTTGCAGTTTTTGTGGTTTCTAGGAAGACATTTTATCATTACGATTGTGCTGTTTTAGAGTAGCGACCATTAAACGAAGTTAAATACAATCGTTCTCATTACTAGCAACGGTAAAGTGTGATCCCTATTTGATTATCTCTGTTTGGGTAAATTAATGATAAAAACTAAAAGTTCTGACTATTTGAACTTCATGAAGTGTAGGAAAAAGAATAAGAATCAAATGAAAAGTAAAATAGAACTAAGTTACCTAAGCTTGTTTATGTTTTTTAGTAACAAGAAACAGCAGAGAGAATTTTGCTCATAGTTTTTCAAACTTTTAGTTACAATGCTTACCTACAGTTACTGCTATTTAGTTTATTTTATCTCGTGTACTTCTCTAGCAAAACAATGAACCATGAAAGAATAGGAAAAATCATTATTCGTAATTTAAAATATCTGGCCATATGTCATATTGACAAACGTCATTAACATTCATTCTGATCCTATATCTTTTTATACTTTTAGAAAAATTGAACGTCCGCATGATGATGTTACGTCAGTCATGTCGTACACAACGTCAAAAGTCTGATTTGAGTATAAAAGATAATTCAATATCATCGAAAAACGTCATTTACGGATTATCAAATAGTGAAAGAAACGATGGTGATATTTTTATGAGAGCAAGTGTTGATAATACAAATAGTACACAATGTTTTGAAGTTGAACAAGAAGAATATACTCAACAAAAACAGCCAACTCCAAGTGAGTATTTACTTTATAAATACTTAGAATAGGCGGAGTGCGTCAATTCTTGAGTTTAATCAAAAATTGTTACCCTGAAGTACTAATCGGATAGGTATTCACTTGCTTGATGCTGATCCATTCTTCACCTAACGTATATGCTATAGAGTTTCATTAATAATTCTTACAATATTTAAATATTTCAGATACAAACGCTTTGTTAAATTTGACACGTCCTAGTTCTCCAATAATATGTAAGTTAAAAATGTTCTGAATTTTTTATTTTCGATATTTTATTTTCTCTTTTTTCATTTATAGTACGCAGACGAAAAGTAAAGTCAAAATCGACGAAACCTGTTCAACAACCACTTCAGACATCAATAAATCAACAAGACGTTATCAAAAACGATAGAAAATTGAAACGAAAATTACAAGATAGTAAAAATGATAACGATGATTTTATTGTGTCAAAACGAAAACGAACAAAAACACCATTTGTCAAAGATTTAATGGTTAAAATACCATATAAATTAGTTGAAAATTTTATGAATGAATATGAACAAAAATTAAAAAAGCGTTATAAAACATCGAAGAAACAAGGATCTCTTGAGACATTTATGGTTAAAGAATTGCATAAATATGTGTCATCATCAAAAAAACCGTCAAAAACAACAACAAGAACAACAGATGATGACGATGATGATTTTGTTGAACCAAATAGATTTCGTACGATTCAAAAACATTTAGATAAACAAAAAATGAAATTAAAGAAGAAAAGTAAAACAAATTCACATTGTGATAGTTTTATTGATTCTACGAAAGATAAAAATCAGTCAACATCGTTAGAAAAACAGGCTCGTCGTTAATTAACAGTTTTATAAGTTACGTTTATGTTCAAGGTTCGAAGAGGCAATTTTATTTCTGTGAGAAACACATGGAATCAGTGTGTATAAAAACTAGAGTGTTTCATTGTGTACCATATGTAGAGAGAATAATATAACTTTCACGACAGGAGATTTTTTGTAAACACAGACCACTATGTTTTGGAAGTGGAAAGAGTCAAATTATTGAAAGTATCTTATCAGTTTCTACAGTATAAGATCCTCATAAGTTGATTATTTAACGTTGTTATTGTTGTTTAATTTTAGTAGACTCGGCGTGAACAAGTTTTAGCATAGACACTAGAAGTAATTCATTTTATGTTTCTTTTGACGTATTTGTCCACTATTTGTATGTGTGTGTGCGTATTTATTCATATTATTGTTCTTATTTATTTTTCTATAATAGTCTAGACGTTCTGTTTGTTTTTTAACTAGGTGCTTTTTATGCGTGTCTAACATAGTGTATATTATTTTGTTTTGCATTTCAGCAATACTGACTGATTTTTTTTCTTTGATTTCTTGTTTATTGACGGTACATTACAGTATTAGAAGGATAACAGTAATAAAACAGATATATGTATACCTAAGAATACCATGATCTGAAGTAAAATTGTTATTGATATCATCTTACTGTCCTTCGATACATTCTTTTTTAGTGGAATGTGTCGACTGAAATAGCTTGAAGAACGATCTGAAAATTGTATTTTCGAATGTAAGTGCTTTTTTGAGAAAAGATATTTTTTTATGGTAAGGATGAATATGAGATTATGACATTCCATAATAATTTTTATAATATTCATTGTTAATAAAATAACATTACTATCGCATCCCATTCAAAATATAATGAACTCTGACATTTTTTGAAAATATTTTGATAAAAACTGATAGAGACTCTTGGTTCTCACCAGTGGTTGATCCAGAATTATTCTTTGGTACGTGCGATATACGATAAAAGTGTGACATACGTGCGGTCATCATAGAAACAAATTATTCTAAGAAAGTTTTGCTGGGAAAAAACAATTTTTGGTTAAAAGCTCGTACCGCTTGTGGGCTGGATCCGCCACTGGTTCTCACAAATCAATAGACAAGACCGAGAGACATTGATGTATGAAAGGCTTAGAACCAAGTCTCAACCACTACCTGCAAATGACACGAGTGAAAAATGGCAAGATTTCCATTCAATGATAAAAATTTAATAACCTACGTTGATCACTGTTCGGGTGTACTGGGACTTCTTCTGAGGCATTCCTACCCGATGATCTTGAAGTCTGAGAATCTCAAAAATAACTAGAACATAGGCTATCAGCTGTGTTGAGTCATACAACAATGTTTATTTTCATTAAAAATTACAAAAGTCCAGTGGAAATCGACTTTGAATGAAGTAATCCACTTTAGGTGATTTCTATACAAAACTGGAAAAATCATAACTCAAAATACTTCATAGGGTAACACATGGTTTATTTTAGCTGTTTTTCAATATCAGAATACAGTAATCTCAATGAAAATGTATTGGATCTTACTGAATTTGCTAAAAATTTCGAAAATACGTCTAGATCCTTTTCGCATTTTGAACCACATCATCGCGGAAGACATCTAAAATGAGATATAATTTGAAATTTTGAAGTTGAGTGGAATTAAAATTAAATAATTCTTCAATTTATTCATCAAAAGTTAATTCAAAATATATCGGAGTTCATTTTTTAGAGACCAGTAATTTTTTAAAGAGATTCGGTAAAACTTGCTAATAGATAATTCATTGATTTTTTATAATAAGATAGATACGTCGCTATAATGTTTTTAAAGGGCGTGGGAGGAGCTATCAGACAAAAAAATGTTATTCTGTACCCTCTTCAGATGTTTTCTCATCCACAGAAGTCGTGAGAATGAAGATATTTTTTCGAAAATTCAAGGTAAAAGTATTGAAATATATTTTATTGAATCTAAAGTGTTCGAAGAATTTGTAACTTCAAATATAAAGAGTTAATGTTGTATGGAATTACTATGGTTTTCTTTTGTTTACAGTATATCTATTAGTCAAATCTAGATAACCCTAAAGTTGAAGTTAGTATGTTTTAACTTGATTCATATATTATTCTTTCTTTATACCTTATTCAATATTGTTTAAAATACTATGGGATAAAAAAACGCAATCCTTGAAAATTTATTTATACGTTTCTTATTTCTTATCAAATTTTAACCGGAAAAATTTCCTTATGAATGAGGTTGAGTCGTTCATTGTCTACACACCAATATAAAAATTTCATGAAAATTCATATTAGTTTTTCAGATATATTTAAATGGAAGTTGAGTTTTTTCATTTCCGTTAGTTTTATTTGATTCCTATTTTATATCGGAAGAAGGCTATACAAGTAGACCACAATAGTAGAGTTAAACGATAATGCATAGTGTTTGCTCATTAAAAAGTTATAAAGTATAAAGAAGGAATGTATATCAAATAAAAGTTACAATGACATAACAATCCAAACGTATGGTAATCATTTAGTGTATCGTTTCCAAGATAGAGGTCTGCGGGACGGTCCCAGTCCCGGTCTTGCCGGACTTTTTACGGAACCGGGATCTAGAAAAATCTTTTTTACGAGACCAGGACCGGAACTGGGATCTAGAGGTTTGTGGGATGGTCTCGATCTCGCAGGGTTTTTAATGGGACCGGGACCAGGTTTTCTTGAAAATAGTCTTGTATAGAGCATAAAAATTTCTAGTCTCTGTGCTTGTTTGTATGTAGGCACTAGTTCTACGAGAAAGAACTCATACAAAATTCTAAAAGTCTTCAACTGATACCACCCACGTATGCTGCTCCACGAGCCACATCATAACGCACTGACTTTCAAATTATCAGCGCTACTTTGAAAAATATTTACGGGATCACGAGACCGGAACCAAAAACGAGTTCTTTCTACGGGATCGGAATCGGAACCAAAAATTTTTTTCTTCACAGGACCGGGACAAAAAAAGTTTGGTCCCTCAGATCTCTATCCTATGGCTCTACTATTTCTACGTATTGTCCATCTTCTCTCTAGGCTATGAACTTAAAATTGAGAGTAAACAAGAAATAAATGTAACATCTGACGAACATTTTAATCCACTTTTTTTCACTGCGAGAAATAAATATAGATGTTTATATTATCAACAAGAACAAATATTACACGTACTTTATAACAACTAAGTGGATATTATCTCTTGAACAACAAAGAAGAAAGACGGATTTCACATAACAATAAATATATTATTAGTAACGAAACAATTGACGATCGGTAATTATTGTTCTTGTCATAGAGAAGGTGCTGTTTTTTAACATACACAGCATCGAATCTCTAACTTAGTAAATGATAATCTAATAATAATAAATAATGACAGAGCGTACAAACTGTTATATATATATAATACACTTCTCTGTTTTGTACTACAACATAATAGGTTTAGTATCCCTTCGTCTTATTTTTTTTTTTTTTTTTTGCTTCTCATAAATACGAGATGATTATTATTTTGACTTTGCATTATCATAAACGACGCAAGCAGAAAAAAAATTTTTTTTTTCTTCTTGTTTATTGGTGGTAGTGTACTAGTTTATTAGAAATTTGTTCGCATTTTGTCATCAATATCATCACTTTTATAATGAGACAGATGCACTACTATTATACATGTGATTAAGTCTTTACTTCACTTGATAAAATTCTTATTTATCTTTATATGAAGAACAAATTTTTTTAAAAGAAAAAAGTATCATTTCAAGATACTTTTTTATATTATTTTATTTAAAAATTAATGAGATTAAAATTCGTACGTATTTAGATATACGTTTAATGATTGAGAATTAATTTATATTATCTATTAATAATCAGGTATATATTATTTTTATATTTCAATACTAACTAATGTAATGAAGAATATTTAAATAGATTAAAATGATTTTCGGTTAATAAGATATGAATATGATACGTTGAATCTTGATTGATATAAAAGAGTTTAGCCTTTTTATTTTGAGAAAATTTTATAGACAAGTAGTTAAAAATTTACAAATTTTTTTAATTTAATAAATCTTTAATGCAGTTAATTAGTTGTTTGAAACACAATACGATTGAATAAATAAACATCATTGATTGATTATGGTTTGATGATGGAACTCCGATAATTAGATAAAACAAAAGTGAGAAAATATTTGAAATATCTTAGTTGCTATAAAAACATCATAAAAAAAACGATATTGAGGAGTATGTAACTCTTGATCGATCGATCTATCTTTGACTTACAATTTCTCTGTGAAAAAAGAAGCTTGTGTGACATAGATTCTGCTACATACAATCTTTTTCATACTAAAGTTCTTATCTGAGTAGGAGTGGCAGCCGTCTTTTCTCTGAATTAAAATGGGAACTAAAAATTTATTCTTGTTTAGAATTCTCAATTAACGAGTGATGCAAAAATTCTACGGTTTTTTTTAATTTTTAATTTTATATAGCATTTCGATGGAACATCGTCGAGACTCGATCTTTCTAATGTTAGAAAGAGAAAAGTATCTAATACAAAAATATATAAAAATGTTTTCCAACAACTATAAACATTTTAGAACTAAAAGATATCTTTTTATTCGCTTTTTTTTGTCCGGGATTTTATAACGTAAGAATGCATTATACAAAAACAAATTTTCTATGTATTGTATAACGGTCGAAATGAACGAACGCTTTTCTAATATTTTTATAGCACTGTCAAATTTTGATTGCTGACGATCACAGTCGAAATAAGACATTCTACTGTGAGATAGAAGTGGCCAGAAACTGTATATTTTTTGTATACAAAAGAAAGTTTATTGGATTCTCTTCAAAATGATAATATTTGGAATAGAACACAGCTGCTCTGTAAGATATTATGAGAAAAACTTGTTTTCGTGTTGTAAATGTCAAATTGAGTTTATAGTCCAATTATCTTCTGTTCAGTTTCTTGTTTTAAAAGGCCAACTTTTTGATATCATACGAAAGTCTTCGTTGTAATGGATACCTTGATATACATTGTGCTCGAAAATATCGAAAGTGGATAATGAAAAAGATCAAAACAACTACATATGGATGCAAAAACTATGATTCCCAAGCAAAAACGACCCAATTTTTTGGGTTATTTATCTAGATTCAGATTCACATACATCTAGATGTACGTGGAGCTGAATCTAGATAAATAACCCAAAAAATTGGGTCGTTTTTGCTTGGGCTAAAGTTGCGGAACAGTTTTCTGATGTTTTTAGTTCTAAAATTTTGTATAGTTATTGGAAAACATTTCTAATCAAACATTTTTATAAACTTTTATATTAGATACTTTTCTCTTTCTAAGAAAAGAAAGATCGAGTTTCGACGAAATTTCATCGAAATGCTATATAAAATAAAAAATTAAACAAAGTCCAAACTTTTTGTATCATCCATTATGCTATTTTCTATTCTTATGACATAAAATTTCCTTGAAATCATAAAATTTGTTTCTTTATCATTTTCCAAATATAATCCGTATATAACGTGTAGATTGAATTTGTGTAAATGCAGAATATTTTGAACAAGTTAGCTCGGAAGATTCCTTCATATTATGACATCTTATCTTTTTTTAATATGATTTCTAGCACCTTTATATTTTTATGTATTATCTCTTATCAATAGATAGGTGTCTGGAATAACATAAAAATATAAAAGAACAGAAAGAAAACAATCACCGTAGGAAACTATATCTTCGTGTACTATTGGTGGTAATGAGATGAGTGCTTTTCTATGATTTGTATTATTATAAGTGTATACATATATATATATATAGTGTGATTCAAGGAATTTACTTTCAAATGACACTAGGAATGAAAAAATTGTTTTGATATACCATCTGTGATAATAAATTGTCTAATTGGACTGGTGATGAGTGAGATTTATTCAAGAACACATTTATTTTCAGTGATTTTATTTAAACTGTCTATTTCTGAGTAGAATCAAATTATTCTTTGACACTTGTGAACATATGGAAAAGACGATCAAACGCAAAAGATTAAATATTATTCTTGTCTAATCATCATGGACATACTTTTCTTGTATGTGGATAGAAGTAAGCGATATTATTGTGTTTGTATATATAAAAATATTAAGTTTAAAATATGAAATAAATAGATGATGATCTATCATCGAGATTATCATATGATTCGTTTTCTAAGACATCTATTGTATGGTTAATAAATTTTCTAAATTTTTAGTCACGTTCGAAGTAATTTTAGACAGTAATCAAATATTATAAAGAGATGTCGAAGTTAGTAAAGATTTTCTGATTTTTACATGAAGAAAATAAAACATTCATTTATCTGTCATAAAATACAGCATTTTGGAGATACAATACGAATTTGTTGTATTCAGATGTATTTCAATTATCTTGTCAGAAATAAGTAGAAGTTAAAGAAGACTGAAAATATTGAAAGTGCACGATCAATTTGATCTCTATAATATAATGTTTTTTTTATTATTTAGTGAAAATTGTGTCATGATATCATTATAAACTTATCTACAAAAAAAACAACAGTCCACAATAGACTAATCGTAAGTTTTCATTTGTTTTTGTTTTTGTTTTCTTCTTTTTCTCTACTTCAACTGTATCATCATCAGTGAGTGAGTCTGAATTGAGTAATAATAATGATAACACAACACATTTCATTAGATATGCGAACATGAAATAGAGCCGTATTTTTATTTAGTATCTTGTTGTATGCGTTGTCCTTTAATTGATGGATATTTATCATAATAATAATATCTCACAGAGACGAGAAGTATATATCATCCTTTTGTTATATGATTTACATCTTTTATTCTTTCAGAGCAAAAAATAAAAAAAAGAGAAAAAACCTCACAGAATCGACGACTTATTTTCAGGTGATGATAGTTAACAACAACTGAGAAAAAGATAATTTCTACCATTGCCTACTATACACAATAATTGATGGATTTCTTTTTTATACATAGAACTTTCATTTATAACTGTCTCCATTGAAATTTTTTACTAATTTAATAACAATATTTGTCAAACAAATTATTTATTGAGCGTAAGTTGATTTGAATTATATAGATTAAATACAAAATGTACTTAGTTTATTGTCATATCAAAGTTAGGGATGTTAAGCGTTGAGACCTGATCCAAGGTCGTTAATCTAACAAAAGTTGCTTGTTTTCAATATTCAAAATACCCAAGCACTATCGAGCGTCTACATTAGACTTAATCAATCTTAATTCTCTGTTCTATCTGAAATTAGTGCTAGAATTAATAAAATTCAGTAAAAAGGTGTCAGGCTTGGTAAGCCTGCTTGGAAAGTTAGCCATTGAATTTTATTAATTCTAGCACTGATTTCAGATAGAACAGAGAAAATTGATGAAGTCTGATCTAGATGCTCGATGGAGCGTAGAAGTTTTGAATATTGAAATCAAGCAACTATTGAGATCAGATCTCAGGGCTTGGTACATCCGTACTATTTTCATACAGAAACTTTTATTATTATCCTACGAAATATTGTAGTCTGACAACATTACAGTCTGATAACTGTTTTGAAAAACAAATGAATTATGAATCGGAACTTTTTTCTTCAATAGAAAAATACGCTAATTAAACTACTGGTTGTTGAGTACAATGTGGCATAGAAAATTATAAATAATGGAGCAGAGATTCTTGGAACTGCATACACGTTATAGATAAGGCTTCATTTGGATGATTGCACATTTCCTGCTCTGAATGGTAATTCCAATTAATATCAATCTGCTTCGATAATTATACAGCATTTCATCACTTTTATTCTAAGAGGGCATTGATGTAGTTTCTTCTTACCGAAAAGTTAGCTAATGATAAACTAAACAATTAGACATTAAACAAAAATCAGGAAGTAAAAGGGCGTATCTGAAAATAACAAAGCTAGAAGATAATCTTCGTAACCAACATTACTTTTGTAACTGAGAATATAATTCTTATCGTACAAGATTGCTTATCGTTTTCTAAAGAATATACAACTCCAATCTGAACTTTTCTTGTCTTTTGAAAATATTTCTACATCGAAGAGTTTTGTTTTATTGATTGTATTGCCGTATGTTTTAATGAAACATTCTAAAATTTACAGCTTGTCTTCAATAGTAATGTTCCATCCATACCTCTCTTAATTTATGAATAGAAAATTTCGTTTGACAAGTCTGATCTTCGTCCGTGTATTTGATAGATAGAACATGCAAGGATTCATAATTATCTGCTGAAGGAATGTTTTCCTTTTTCTTTTTCTTATGCTGTTGTTGTTGTTGATATTTTCTCTCTTTCTCTCATTACAACAGAATAAAATTTTTTTTATGACCAAATATACATTAACAAGTAGTATAAGAACATATATACAGAGTAGGTATAGAAGTATAATAGATATGTCTTATTTTAAAATAATGACTTACAGACCACATTAGTGAAGTTCTCAACTTCACATCATGACAGTGCCAGAAGATACAATTTAGACGAAATATACGAAGTTGTTTGATAATATGAGAATAAAAATATATTTGTCAATATTATCTTGATGCTTGCTTGTATAAACTAAGAGTTTTTGGATTGTTAACATTTCATATCAAAATTATTCTATAAAGGCATTAAGATAACTTTTGGTACGTATTAAGTAGGAGAAGTGGATGATGGTTATAGTTTCAAAAACTTATACCAGTTTAGACTTTTCAAATGTACCATTTATTGATATTTACAATTCTATTTTTTAGTTTGACTATTAAAGAACCATGTCCGATCACACTGATTATTCTCCTTCACACAAAACAACACTAGTCAAAAATCCTGAAGAATTTTTACATTTTGCCAATGAAATTCTTCGTAATAAAAATCAAACGACAACACAAAATAATCCCGATCATAATTTAAAAGAAAATATTTCATGGACAAATATTCCTCGTCAACAATTTTTAGAAATACCAGTCACCACTGCTACCAACTCATTTCCAAATGGTTCAACAACAATTTCATCGGGACTATGTGTGTTAAATAATTTATGTCGTTTAATTGAACAAATTCAAACATTACGAACAGAAAATGAACATTTACGATCACGAATCGAAATAATTGACAATATTCATAAATTCCAACGTATGTCAGAACAATTAAATTTAGAAACTGAAAATATTTTATCAACAAAACGAAAAATAACATTGAGAGCATCATTGAAAGAAGAAAATACAATAGATGGTGTAGGAGGATCAAGAAAAAAATTAAAATTTATAAGAGATAAACTTCGATCCAATGATGATAATATACTAAGCGAAATAACGAATCAAAGTAATAATAATAACAATAATAATAATATGTTAAAAGCACCAACTGTTCGTGTGGGTTCAATCAAGAGACAAAATACAAATCAGAATAACGATCACCATCATAGTACATCAAGTAGGATTACATCATCCAGTGACGAACAAAATAGTAAGTATTTTATAACAACTATTATAGTGTATCTTCAAAAGTAGGGATATAGTATACTCATGTAAATAGTTAGAAGAACACAAGATTCTCTTTTCTCATTTTTTAAACTCTAATTCTACTACTTAATTGAGGTACTAGATATTTTTATCTAAAACTTAATGAATTCTTCTGTTATCTGAATCCAATATTCTTGCGCATATATAGAAGATTATTTTTATTCATAGTACTAATGTGGTGTATATACAATGTATATGCTCTATATAAAGATAAATACTGAAAATATAATAGAAATAAGAAGAAAATAGTATGTATATCTCCTTCTCTTTTTCTCGTCGCGAACCGGAAACAGAAGAAAAATATTAGTTTTGACATTCTCACTTTGTTGTATCTGCTAATAAAGAAAGCTCTCTTTTTTATAATAATGAATCAATAAATCTGAGTATATTTTTAGAGCATGATGAAAAAATAGAAAAATAAAAGAGTGGTTTGAACAATACCAAGGCGAAGAAAAATTATCTGTATTTAACCTCCTTGTCAGATAACAACTGTCATATGAAGATGAAATCTCTGCCTATTCAACAAAAACTTGTTGTCATACGCGTAATACATCATAATTTCGTATTTTCACAGTTAGAGAGAAGAAACTTGAAGAAGGCAGCATAACCGTACACAATAGAGTAGAGGGTCAGAATATGTTACTTTCTACTCCTCTAAAAATAACTTACATATTCGTTAATCGTTTATATTATTGTTTCTCTCTATAAATATTGTAAGATTTATGAGGAAAACGTTATTAATATGAAAGTATCTTCTATGAAAAATTCCAGTCTTCAATTTTGAGGGGCGATTGTTATAGCTTTTGTACTTTCTACTACTGTATTCTCTAATATCTACTGCTGTGTAGAGATTGCGATTAGTAGATATGTTGTGGAGAAAGTATAGAATTAGCAATTTTACAGAATCAGCGGAGAATCTGTAGAATCGCCGGTAATTCAATAGATTTCCTAAGAAGATCGGAGAAAGTACAGAACGGACTTTAAACTTCGCCGGAGAATATATAGAATAAATAAAAAGAAGATTTTCAAAATATTTTGAAAAGTTTTTTCGACTTACTGGCATTATCTTGCTGGGATTACTTACTAAGATTAATTCATAAAAAATGTTGTTAAATATTTAACTACAGCACTACTATTGAAAAAAGTTTCTGTCTTTTCTCCATTTATCATAAAAACTTCGTTCTTGCATAGATCGATACAAAAATGTTTGAAGAATATTTATTTAGAAGAAAACATGTAAATATTTTTTTCTCTCATCCCATTTAATGAATAATCAACACTAATTAATGTTAATTTGTACGCGATTATAGTTCCATCTCCAAAATAATGATTCAATAAAAAAAGTTCATGTAATACATTCATCGTTCATGTATACAGAAAATTTCACGGGCTTCAAGCCTGAAGTTCATTCTGTATTTTCTCCTTCTAGGAAATCTATTGAATTATTAGAAAAATTACTTTAGACAATCTATAGATTTCCCACTGATTTTGTAGAATCGCTAATTCTAGACGTTTTCTACAACAGATGTATTACTAAGTGTACGTTATAAGTATCACTTTTGTTAAACCTACGATTTAATGAAAACACACTATTGCATAAAGCCGTCCTCGATTTTAGTACAGACGTGCCTGTTGAAGGCTGAAGCTTAGAAAGGTGAACTAATACCTATATCTTCTCAGTCTAATGAGTATCTTCTTTTCGCGATATTCATTCAGAGAACTTTTCATTTTTCAATATCCTCTTAGTTTGTTAGTTTAGTTTTAAATTTTGTCTCTTTGATTTACATGGTCTTATTTTCCGATTCTCTTCTTTTTTTTTTTCTCTCTACTATATTTAGTATTTTTATCATTCAAGATTTTCATTATTCATTAGTTATTTTAAAAAGATATTCATGCTATGTGATGATTAGACGCATGATTACGAACAAACAATGGTAGAGAAATTATTATTTTAAAATTCATAGATCTTCTTTTGTTCATTCGTCCTAAAAACTTAACTGCAATGATTTCGAGATTGTGAAAAGACGACTCTTTTTTCCTCGTAGGCTTATATCACTGAATTTCGTAGTATAAAAGAACCGCTACTCAATCCCTTTATCCTTTGACATCATTCCGTTTGACTGTTTTTTAACAATATTTTTCAAAAATTAAACGTAATTTTCTTCTTTTTGCTCGACGAGACAACATTGACAAGCTTTGTTTTATTCAGACAGTTTGATATTCGTGTTTTGAAGTAATACAAAAATTTGACTATGAGTTTCCTGTCACAGGGCATCTCAACATAATATCGTACGTAGTCCGAATGATAACATATTTCTAAATGTTTCATAATGTCGAGATTATATTCTATGGGTACCTGCCGAGATTACCATCTGTTTTAGAAATGATGTCATCAAATTTTTCTTTTCTTTTTTTTTTAAAGTAGTTGTTGATCCTATTACTGTCAAGACGACTTCAAACTTGTACATTGATGAAGTTACAGATGAATCAGGTTAGTGTTCTAAAAACCAAGTTTCTCTCATTCTTCTATAAGACTCTTGCTTTATATTTGTATTATTAAAGGTTCAGTACATTCCACATTTCGCGTCAAACCTCAATGGAATAATTGGAATAAAGTGCGACACGTCTTCAGAGTTTATACCGAAACGTTAAGACGAAAACGAAGTATAACAGAGGTTAGTTAAATACATAATTAAATTGTGTTTTTTTTAATTCTATTCAGTTTCTTTTTAGATTGCCTCTTCACCAACTACAAATAAAATAATGAATTCAAATATGTATGGTTCAATTAAAAAAGAAAATTTAATAGTACCGAGAATTGTTTGTTCATCATTTGAAAGTGATGATGAAAATAATCCCCGTAACCACGATATCAATGATAATATCCACGTATTGCATCGTGAAGAAGATGTAGAAAAAAAATTTACTCGAGAAAAAATGATGAGTACTGATACGGCAAATTCGTCGAGTACAGACAGACAAGATTCGGTGGAAACTCGATATGATACACAAGAAGATTTGACACGATCATTAGATCGAAAGCAATCAAAAATCGGTAATCGATGATGTATAGTACTATATTAAATGTAAATATTTTCAATTTATATTCTTGTAGCTCGATATGGACGAAAAATAAAATCAAAATTGGATAATGTTAAAAAACAATTTGAAATTTCTGGAGGACAACGACGTAATTTCACATCATTCGAAGAGAATAGTATTGATCATTATTTCAACTAATGATTGATATATGATTAGATTTTTGTACTTATAGATACTCTACACAATCAAGAATTAAAAATAACATTAGCACCAGCACTAACCAAAGAATATCGAAAAAAAATGCAAGAATGGGAAGCAATGCAAAAAATGAATTTTTTAGGTATAAAATATTTATTATTAAGAGTAAATTGATTATAGTTGATTTTTTAGTTAATTATCGACGACAATCGACTGGCAAGATTGATGCTAAACCAAATTCCCGTAAACAGTCGAGTGAAAAAACTACAGAAGGAATCAATAATATAATTCGACAAACATCATCTCATCATACACTATCACATTTAATAGTTAATACTCCTGATGTTGAGATGAATTATATCAATGGTGAAAATGATTTTACTAATCATGTCGATGGTGGTAATGATGCTTTGTTTGATAAACCTTTATTATCTCCAAATCAGCGTACACAAATGGTTCATCAATGGCGAACAATAATGAATGAAGAAATAACGTTGAGACACTATTTAGAATGTATCGAGAATAAAATGACCTGTTTAAAACTTTTGGAACGCGAATTAAAATCATTAAAAACTACAATATTTTGTACAAATAATGAAAGTGATGAGGATGAAAAATCTCCGACAACGGGAACAAATAATACTCACCGAATAAAACTTAATAGTTTCGAACAGTTAAATAGGTTGAACACTTGTCAAGGTAAAATATTAACTGGTAGATAAAGTTTTATGAAGCTTTTTGATTTTTTTTGCTCGATTGCTAGAGTGAAAAGAAATCTGAAAATTGATCTGAGTAGTCGAAGACGTTTTAAATGAGAAGTAGTGTGTGAAAACTGCGTCAAAACTACCGAAAAATCACCGGACTTTCGGACCGGGCCGAAAGTCTGGAACAAAAAGTTCGTGGGCTAAAATTCAAGCCTCCCGTTTTTGCAAACAACTCGATTGTATAGAGTAAATATTTTTTGAAAGAAAACGCCGTCTTTGGGTTCCCTATGACATTTTTTTCTACACTAAGCATATGAAAGATCCCTAGCTGCCATTTTTTTGGATTTTGAGAGCTCTAAAACGGATTTTTTTAAAAAATAATTACTCTATACAATCGAGTTTACTAAAACTTTCGAATCGAATCTAGGGATTGGTTTCTTCAGCAGTTTCGATGCAGTTTTCATACACTACGTCTCATTTAAAACTCCTCCGACTACTCAAATCAATTTTCAGATTTCTTTTTACTGTAGCAGTTGAGCAAAAAAAATCAAAAAATTTCGTAAAACTATGTCAGTTACTTGAGACAGGCTCAAAAATCATATTACTATATCTTCGTATATTTAGATAAGGATAAAATTCAACGTTCTCGGTCGCTGGAAACATTGGAAACAGTTTCTACTTTGTGGGTATTGGCTGTGCGTAGTGCTGCCTATTCCGATATACTCGATGGAACATCGGGTACAAGGCCTTTAATACGAAATATGGACTTTTTTCGACAATTAGATAAAATTCAAGCTGGAAGAAAACTATTTGGTGAAAGTTTGATTAACGATATACAAGCAATAAGAGAAAAAAGGTAATTTATTTCTTTGTTAGTTAAACATTGCCTTCTCATAGAACATTTCAATTTATTCCAGACTAATAGGTGTCAACACAATTTCTGACCATGCTAAGGCTGAATCCCAAATACCAAAATTGTTTGTACAAAATCAAAATCACAAGAGGTTAAACGATGAATTTACCTCTAACAAACGAAATGAATATCGTGCTCAACTAAAAAAACATTTATCAGATCCAAAAGAATTTCCAAATTATTGGGAAGTAAAAGATAATGTTCGAATACTCACATCGTCTCTGTCTCCAAATCAGACAGAAATCGAACATATTGAATCACTCATTGACGAAAATAA